ATTAAAAGAGACTGCAAAGACATGCCAAGTAAATGCAATATATGTTCCTAGATAGGTTCTTAGACCAGAAAAGGAAAGAGAGAAATTATTAGAACATTTATCAAAATGTGGATGGTATCTGTGGATTGAATGGCATTGTTGTATCAGTGTCCATTTCTTAGCTTAGAGGGGTGTATGGTTATTATGCAGGAAAGTATTCTTGTTTTAGAAAAATACACACTAGAGTATCTAAAGATGATGGGGCATTGTGTTTGCTGCTTGCTCTCAAGTGGTTCAGAAAAAGATTAATGAAAATGGCAAAAAAAGGTGACGGAATAATTGCAGAGAAAAGGTTAACAGTTGCAGAATCTGCATGAGAAGGATACTGGAGCTCTTTGTGTTGTACTTTCAACATTTCTGATGGTTTAAAATACTTTCAAAATAGGATGGGCGTGGTGCCTCGACTGTAATCCCAGCACTTTGGGAGGCCGAGACAGGCGGATCATCTGAGGTCAGGAGTTCGAGACCAGCCTGGCCAACATGGTGAAACCCTGACTCTACTAAAAATACAAAAATTAGCTGGACGTGGTGGCACATGCCTGTAATCCCAGCTACCCAGGAGGCTGAGGCAGGAGAATTGCTAGAACCTGGGAGGCAGAGGGTACAGTGAGCTGAAATCATGCCATTGACTCCAGCCTGGGTGACAGAGCAAGACCCCGTCTCAAAAGTAAATAAATAAATTATTTTAAAATAAATTATTTTAAAAATACACTATATTTATTCACTTCTTTGGTCCTTGGGTCCATGAAAAATACTTTATAATGATCCCGGAATTAAAGAGTTGCAAAAAAGCACTAATGGCAAAAAAAAAAAAAAAAAAATACATGAAAGCTTGGGAGAGATTACTAATACAGCTGCTGCTTAAACTATGCTTCTCCTCCTTTGTGTGTAGTACATAAAGGTTTGGGAAGTTTGTTCCTAGACTGAGTGAGGGTCAGTTTCTGGTCAGCCTTACTGGGTCCAGAAGTATCAGAATATGCCCTTCTTAGTTACTCTGTTGCTGAGGCATTGTTGTGGCTGCTGCCACCAGGGGCATCTGCTATTCTGTATGTGCAAACTGCACTCTCCATACTGTCAGAGGAGACTCTAAACTCTTTCCTCTTTATTTCCTTCCTTCTTTTCTTTGCTTCAGTCAGGCTTTATTACAGGAAACAGAAATCATTCTCGATGTTTTAAGAAGAAGCTAATACAGGGGATTACATGCTTACAAAATCTTTGGAAGAGCTGGAAGAGTAGATGCTAGGCTGGACTTCTAGAGCAGGGGTCCCCAACCTTAGGAACTGGCCACACAGCAGGAGGTGAGTGGCAGGCCAGTGAGCAAAGCTTCATCTGTATTTACAGCCACTCCTCATCGATCACATTACCTCCTGAGCTCCGCTGCCTGTCAGATCAGCAGCAGCATTACAGTCTCATAGGAGCATGAACCCTACTGCGAACTGTCCATGCAAGGGATCTAGGTTGTGTGCCCCTTATAAGAATCTAATGCCTGATGATTTGTCACTGTCTCCCTGTCCCCCATTACCGTCACCCACACATGGGACCATCTAGTTGCAGGAAAACAAGCTCAGGGCTCCCACTGATTCTACATTATGGTGAGTTGTATAATTATTTTATTATATATTACAATGTACTAATAATAGAAGTGGAGTGCACAATACACGTAATGCGCTTGAATCATCCTGAAACCACTAGACCTCATCCCCGGTCCATGGAAAAGCTATCTTCCATGAAACTGGTCCCTGGTGCCAGAATTGTTGGGGACTGCAGTTCTTAGAAGATCAGAAACAGGGCAGAACCGACCCACTCAGGAAGCTACTATCTCTGCCCCAATCAGAAAGGTAGGTGATCAGGAGCCATCACCAGAACTGATGACTTCAAGAATACAACCAATCTTGATGTCTGGAAGCTACCGCTACCACTATTTCTGTGACTTCTTATCAATATGTACAAAGCAAGTTACCAGATACTGGAATACTTTTGCAGAAAAATTCGATGTTTACATGACTGTGCTTATCAGCAGAAAAAGCCAAAGAAACAAAACAATATGCTCCACCTCATTTCCACTCCCCAAATCTCAAGTAATTGCACTTAACTGGGGAGCCTATTTTGAATCCAGACCATTCATTTCAAGGGAGTGTGGGAAACAGTGTTTAGTTTTCCCACCTCCACATCACTGGGAGGTGCATGGGAAGGAAGTGGGAAGAGATGCTGAATTCCAGTCCCCGCATCTACCACACTGCTCCCCACTAAAGATCACTGCGTGTTATTCTCTATCGTTAATCTCAAGTGACTGTCAGAGCAAATCTGGTATAAATTATACTACACTTCCTCCTTGGTTTGTTGACACTTTAATGGCAAAATTCTGCACATGCAGCCAGGGCGATCTCTTACTATAAGCCACTTATATGTGGAAGAAGAGTTAAAACTCACTGAAAAGTGAGAGGTGTTATGATCTACATTTTAGCATGCTTCAGTGCTGATATACTCACACACTGTGACTCAGGGACTATTCACTACATACTGATTAAATTACAATTCTTTCACTATCTTCTATCCCATTTCAAATTATTTTTCTCCCTGTTTTAGTTTCAAATTTAAAATAAGGATCCTCTCCTTTTGTTGTAATGAAAAAGCACTTTACTTTTAATCAACAGCAGAGGGCTACCTATTCCCAGCCTAGTCCGTGAGTTTTAGAAGTGACAGAGTTGCAATGCTTTCTTCCTTTAACAAAAGGGGTGTATGTGTGTGGTGGGGGGAGGGTGGGAGTGTGGTTCCCATCCTTCTTTTACTTTTGTGATAGACCAGAAAATAAATGGCAAATGACAGTGAAGAGATGGTAACCTCCACAAGAAAAAAAGTGACTTTTATCTTTCCCTCAGTTAGCGGCTGACACTTTTTTCCCCTCTCTATCCCTGGTGCCTAGCACAATGCATGGTAGAGAGGAAACAGTAAATGAATTGAATGAATAATCCAATTACAATGGAAGAAGTGGAAAATTCTTCATCATCATGTCTCTTATCTTCCTATCTCACTCCCTTCCTCAATGTGGACAAAATAGACAGAGGGGGGATAGAAACAAATTAGAGTCATGGAATTGACAGCCAGAACTCCCAGAATGTGCATGGGATAGGCCCCATGCCATGAAACTTCCTAGATGTACAAATCCTTCAGCAAGGTCAGGAAATCCACATTTCAAAGGGTGGAGTTTCTGGCCTTTAGCCCCAGTTCCTTACAGACCACCCACTAACTGCCACAGTTAGTTTTATTTCAGCTGGGCAGAGGGGTAATGATTGAAAACAGAGAAATTCCTAAAGTAGATAATTAAAAACACTGATCGTGTACCAAGAGGGAGTAAACAGATGGTGAATGATACCTTTGGCACTATTTTCTCTAAGATCAACTGGCTCTGTTGGAAGGCGGTGAGATGAGAAATCTGCAATTAGCAGGGCCTACCTGTGAATATAGCAGGGAAAGAAAGTCCAAGGCCAGCCTGACTGGGTTGGACACCAGCTTGAAGTTATCTGCACTGGGCAGTCTATGTAACAAGCAGGGAAATCTGACTGATAAGAAAGCGATCACAAGTGAAGTGCTGTATTATCTTCTGATCTCCTCTACAGAATAAAGGGGCCATTAGCTAGAATGTTATCTTTAGCTATAACACATTGACTGTTGTTTCTGAGGGAACTATGAGCCGCCATCATTTGTCCATCATCACTTTGTTTCTCTTCTGGCAGCAATAACTAGGAAATTAAATTCTAATCACATCACGTAAGCATTCTCAAAATACCCTGAAATAACTTGCCTGCATTAACAAATTGCCCACCCTTTATAAACAAAGAACTCTCAAGAGAAGTGTAAAATGTTTGACGACACCAAGTTACTAAGAGGAGGAACTATGCAACTTAAGTCTTAAAATACTTCAAGCAGTATAAATTAGATTGATGAATTTTCAGTTAATTGGGTCTAATCTTGATAACAGGTACACGTGGCGCTTAGTCAGCCAAAAAGAAGGCAAAAAATTTGATTTTTTTCACTCGGAACCAGTCACTGTTAGACTATATAAAGCCTTTTCATCTCCCACTTATTTGCATTTTTGAGACAATCTCCAAGAACACACAGAAACCACATATCATTTACGACGGAACAACCTTTCCAAATGGTCTTACAATATTTTTAATAAGCATAGGCATAATCAGCATTAGTTATTTAGTTGAAAAGAGACAGCTTTGCCTTCTTCAAATCCCAGAGCTTAATCTAGTTTTCAAAGAGAACAGATATGGTAACTTCTTTATAAAGTATTTATACTTTTTTGGCTTTACTTTTTAACATCAACGATGACCGGTGAAAAAAAGCATGAACTTCTCACACTAGACACTTGTTGCTAAAGAAGAGGAGGAAAATTTGTGTTCCTGCTCTCCCACCCCTGTCTCTAGTTAGGGGATTAAAAAGGATTTCAGATAAAGAAGAAAAAACCAAACGAGCGAATGACAATTCACTTGGAACTCTCCAGACCCGAAGTCCGTAAAGTTAAGTCGGCCCGGCCTCCGCCAGAGCAAGCAAATCAACAGCAGGGATGCTGCGACCGTCTCCCCACGCCTGCGAGCTCCGCACACCCGGCGGGGGTGGCAGGAAAGGGCAGGCGCGGTGATGTGCGTCCCCCGCCGGCCGCCTAACCCCCTCCTCAACACTTCCTGAAGGAAACTGACAAGGAAGGCGGCGGCCGCTCCGGGAAGGGGCGGGTATGGACCCGACAAACTTGCTCGGTCCAGCGAGCCCCCAGCGCCCGCGCTCCCAGCCGCCCCCACAGTCCCCGCGGCGCCTCGCGCGCTCCCCGGGCTCGCGCCGAGGGAGGAGGGGCTGACAGCGGAGCCTCCGGTCGTGGCCGCCGCCACTACCTCCCCGTGTCCGGCTGCTGAATAACCCGAAGGGAAGCCCGCCCCGCAGCCCCGCGGTCCCCGCACCTCGTCCTCCAGGAGCCCGAACACCTCCACCGCGCAAGTTGCCATTTCCGAACGCTTCCAACAAACCGGACACGCTCGCCCCCGCCCAGGGCAGGCAACTGTGGAGGAGGAGGAGGAGGAGGAGAAGCGGGAGGAGGCGGGGAAGAGTTGGAGGAAGAGGAGGAGGCGCTCCCCCAGCGACAGCAGCGCCTCCCCCGGCGAGTGGGCGCT